ACCAAAGAGCCCCCTTTTGCCCAAATATTTCGCCAAGATTTGGGCGCTGGCAGCCTTGTCAAAATCTTGCCGAGGGGGGGCAGTCAATAGCGCCGCACCGTCCCAGACCGTCCACATAATCAGTGAGTGCGACCTGAGTTCTTGACGTATCGCTCTCGTCAAGGGCTCCGACGAACCCTATGGTGCAGGGTTTGCTGTTCTGCTCGCTGGTTGTTGGTTGTCGGTCGGGACACGAGCGTTAAAAAAATCATTTCGCATCACACCAAACGTGGAGACTCCCAAACGTCACGAGAGGGCAACAAAGCCGAAAAAAGCCCGCGTTCTGACAGAGGCGCGACAACAGCGCAATTGATTTCTCGCTCCCTAGNTGGCGTGGCTCAGGAGTTCGCAAGCTCAATCGACGGAAATCGTTGTCTGCGTGTGCGCACGCCATCCGTTGAAAAAAGTTTTCAGGTGTTCAACAAGTTATTCTATTCGCGAGTGAATAACAAGGGCGAAAAAATCAGTTCGAAAAAGCAAAGTGACCCCACGCACAATTCTCTCTCCATCGATTGAGCTTGCGAGCTCCTGAGCCACGCCAGTCCGAGGGAGAGCAAGGAACGGATAGCACACCCTGACCGGTTTGGCGTCAATCGGTGGCCTAGGGAGCGAGAAATCAATTGCGCTGTTGTCGCGCCTCTGTCAGAACGCGGCTTTTTTTCGGCTTTTTTGCCCTCTCGTGACGTTTGGGAGTATCCACGTTTGGTGTGATGCGAAATGATTTTTTTACGCCCGTGTCCCGACCGACAACCAACAACCAACGTGTGGAACAGCAATCCCTTCACCATAGGGTTCGTCTGAGCCCTTGATGAGAGCGATACGTCAAGAACTCAGGTCGCACTCGCTGATTTTGTCTATCGAGGTGTCCACAACCCCCAAGTAAGATCAAGATGCAGTTTTCCACACACACGTACATGCAATAATCTTGAGCTTGGGGGGGGGGGTCGCTTCTATCTTGCCAAGGTTTTGAAGAATCAAGATCAAGATTTGTTTGCCATGAACAGTCGTCTAACATACAACAACATATTCGCCTGATTGAGAGCGTAGCATCTGATTGAGAGCGAGATTGCGCGATACGCTGTAGCCGGACTACCACTGAGAGGTGGAGCTTGCTGTGTAGCTTGAATTGAAGGGCTAGCCCGTAGCTTCAAGCCGCTACCCTGGTCATCCTGTGGGAGTCTCTCGTTGTGGAGCTACAGCGGGGAGCAGAAGCTACAGCAGAGCCCACCGCCCGACGCGATACCGCCCTGAAACAGTTTGAGCAGAAATAGCCAATCTGGGCAAATCTAGCAACTTGTCTAGCTCCTCGCTGCAGCATCCGATGACGATGACACGCATATGCTCGCGAAGCTGCTGATGAGACCTTCAATTTGCACCGCTTCTTGGAATAGCCCGTCCCCTACTTGCCAAGAAATGGCAAGAGGCGTCTGGACCCGAAATTTCAATTTTTTTGGCTCTCGCTCTCAATCAGATACTTCGCTCTCAATCAGGCGAATATGTTGTTATACAGAGAGAGCGCGCGGCACGCCGGGAGTGCCCTCGCAACACAGGGCTATCGGTAGGTGAAGTCTCGCTTCAAGGCGAGGTCTGCGGGCGGAGAACCCTCGAAAAAATGGCCCGAGGCTCACGAGATTATCAGGATTGCATTTCCTGCGATCTCGTGAGCCCTCAGCCCGTAGGAAATCCGTCTTGAGGTTTATTTTGTTAGAAAAACCAGCAAGTTTTTATGTTTGCTTGTTTTTCTCCCATCATTGGACTCTGTCGTCTGCCTCTCTGGTTCCTCTCCTCCACTTCTACCAGCTAGACCACCCCACTGGGGTCACATAGGAGGGGGGGGTGGTTGGACCCCCTCCTGTGGTTCCTGCCTGAGATATTTTTATCGCGAGGAGGGTACAGCAATCCCTTCCCTCGCGACCGATGAAGTCGGTCAAGTTTACTAACAATGAGCTTTGCAGCGCGTCGCTTCCAACGGAGACCAGGATTTAATTAGCGAGAAAAACTCACTCTGTCGGGACTTGAACCCACGACCCGGTCCTTAGCAGGCCGCGAGGCTACCCACTAGACCACCGGGTCGACTGCTTATTAAATGTTCTGACGGAAGCATCGAACTCATGACCCTGTGTTTACCAAGTCTTCAAGGGGTATACTGTCAGTTGTCCCTACCTATTTTTTATGAAAGGCTGTGCAGGATGACCACTATATGTGGTGGCACGCATGTAGGATACCATGAGGATTGTCATTGGTTATATTTTATAGTGAAGAGCAGATATTTTTAATATCTAAGTGCAGTAGAAACAAGTCCTACATATGTTGTTGTACTTCGTATTGGTTCAATATTCATGTAGAGTATGAGACATTAACTGAAAGTTTTCTGAAGTACATCTGCAATTGTCGAAAGGCAAAAATATATACATAATATGTGGTGGCACCAGAAAACGATGAATGAGTCCAGAGCAAACGTATAGGATATTATTAGATATTCTGTGCGACCACATCACACAAGATTTTGCCACGACATTCCAGCAGAGGTCCCACCTGGCGTCTCTCCCTACAGCTCCCCGTGGTGCTTCTGAGCGGTGCTGTAGGATGAAAGTGCGCTTTGAGGACATGCCACGTATCTCCGACACCCGGTCACTCTGTTACAGGAGTACGACCGTGCGACATAGAAGTATAGGCTTATCCTCATCTTTTTTATCCCGTGTACTTTTCGCGCTCAACAGCATATTGGTGAAATTGAGAGCGAAGCATCTGATTGAGAGCAAGATTGCGCGATGTGCTGCAGCTGGACTACTGCTGAGAGGTGGAGCTTGCTGTCTGTGTAGCTGGAATTGAAGGGCCAGCCCGTAGCTATAGTCCGTGCACAACAATTTGTCCAATTACGTTTTGTGCAATAACTTCGTCTGGAAACATAATTGGAACGTGAAACAACGATAGTCGTGACCGCCTCGTCGAGATACGCCGATAGCTGCAGAGTTTTTTTTTTGGCGATATGCAACAGTTTTGGCTAAAATCATACACGGAGCCCCCCCAAACACGACATACCCCTATGCACTCACGGAACCCCCTAACTGTGCCCCCGAAGAGCCGTCTTGCCCCTCTACCACCTGCTCTAAATACACCACGACACCCCCTGTTTGCATTTGTACAGATTTTATCCCACGCTTGCTCGACAACCCCCTCGAAGGTCAAGCACGCCAATGTATACACGTGAACGAATCTCCACACTCCGCGTAGTCTAGTCTATACACGCAAAAAAAATAAATAGACATCACTACACTATACGATACAGCATGCACTAAACTAAACAAAACCTTGGGAGCAGTCAACCCTTTGTGGGTGCTAAAAAACAAGTAAAGATCTGGTTTACGCACGTAAAGACAGACACATCACGACGCAGTCTTGTCGGCCTCCTTCTCCTCTCCTCCCTGCGCCATGGCGCGCTTCCTCTTCCACTTCTTGAATGCCCTTGTCGCCCTCCTCGTGGAGAAGGTTCGGCATTCCTGTGAAGCCGCCAACGCTTTCGCCGCCGCGGCGTCCTTTTCCGCTTGAGTCCCTCCCCCCCCCGTGGCCTCCACGACTACACCACTCATCTATGCTAAGCCCATGGCCCGAAGCTATCGACATGTTGCCGATGCTGCCAATGCTGCCGTTGCTGCTGCGGCGCACCTCCAATACGCCGCCGCCGGCCGGGAGAGCTTGTGTGCGACTCACCCTCTAAAACCGCCGCTGACTTCTCTGCTGGGCCAACCTCACCACTGGCAGAGGAGCTCTCCTCCTCTTCCTGCTCCTGCTGCTGCTGCTGCTGCGACTTCCGGATGAACGCTCCCATGTTCGTGCCAAGCCTACTGCTTGTTGCTGGAGAAGTTTTTTTCTGTTGCGAAATTGCTGACTTCTCGACAGCACACGCGGCGGATTTTTTTTCGGCGTACTTCCGGCACCCGACCACTTCGAAAACTCAGGATCGACTCACCTCTACCATTGCTGTGTGCGCCGCTGGTATCCTCATCGCACCAGTCCTCGTCGTTATCATCCTCGTCTGCCGCCACCTTGCCTTCCTCCTGATCCCCGTCCATCAAATCGGCGCTGTCGTGGCCGTCGGAGAGCGCATCACCAGCGCCGCGTGACGGAAGATCATGTTACTGCCCCGGCTTCGGTTTCTTCGGAACCGCCCGGCCATCGGCTCCGCGCTTGCCGATTTTCTTCTTCTTAGGCCGTGCCATGGTGCTTGCTTGCTTGCCTGCGTGTCTCCTGTTGTTCGGGCCGACACGTGTGCCAGTTTGTTGTGGGAGCGTCTTTCCCAACAGCAAAAAAATTTCCTATAGCACGGCACGACAAAATGTGGAATATCTCGAGAACCAGAGTTTTCCCGGGAAAAACAAAAACACCCATCTAGACTAATCATAGTATTATTTTTGCGAAAAGGGTGGCCCGAAGAGGGGTACGCTTTGTGTTTTGCAAAAAAAAAGCTGTTTTGAGGGATCGTGTGTGGATGGATGTGCACACGAGAAAAAGAATAATTCTTATGCTCAGGGGCGTGAAAAAGACGCGATGGCTGTCTGTCTGTCTGTCTGTCTGTCTGTCTGTCTGCGCGCCCTAAATAACCCAGCAGACTCGAGCCCATTTCACCATCTCGGCACCAAATTGCAAACTAAAACTTGCGCACAACAAGTATGTAACATTTTGCCCGAGCTGTCCCAACCGCTACCTTTGCAATCCGTCGTCAGTGTCTCGAGATAGCACACCGTTTGTGCAAATATATATGTCACATGGACGCATCCCCGGGAGGCGTCGTCATTTTTGTTTTTCTCTGGGCAACAAACTACAGACACGTTTAAAGTAATGCCCGCCCGACGGTGGCTTGCCTCCTAGATGTAGTAGATGTAGATTCTGCCGTAGACACTCTTGTCCACGAGCACGTTGAGATGGGAAGGTTGCTTGTTATTGCAGAAGCGGTTCTGCTACAGGTCCGAGGTGAGGCGGATTGCCCTTAACCTGGGGGCACGCAGATAGTTAAGTCCCGATGGGGTTCGTCCTAAGAGGGTATACCTCCTGACGTCCCCCATCTTAATCTAGACCGANGACACGTTTAAAGTAATGCCCGCCCGACGGTGGCTTGCCTCCTAGATGTAGTAGATGTAGATTCTGCCGTAGACACTCTTGTCCACGAGCACGTTGAGATGGGAAGGTTGCTTGTTATTGCAGAAGCGGTTCTGCTACAGGTCCGAGGTGAGGCGGATTGCCCTTAACCTGGGGGCACGCAGATAGTTAAGTCCCGATGGGGT